TGTCCACGTCCGTCTTGTGGTTGTGGTTGGCTATCACTAACATCACCTGTGTCTGGTTTCCCAGACAGGTGGATACTACATACCTGGAACCTAGGGCAGAGATCGGGAGGGGTGAAAAGAGGCCAAATCCACAGTTTCCTTGAACGCCTGTGTCCTTACCAAAGACATGGATTACGTAAGCCTTGTTTTCCACACCAACCGTCACCCCCAATGACGATTCTATGTCAGCATAAGTGACCCCGTATGGTGTTACAGTCCTTGTGTCGTTATATCCCAGCTGTGGATAATCAACCAGAAAGGATCCCCCTGTTTCCCCAGCTGCCACTGCAAGTGCATAACGAGCCGCCTCGTTTTTCTGAATGTATACCAGGAGGTAGCCTACACCTGGAAAAAGTATACACAGTTTGTTAGTAGTGTTTTAGAATGGACAATACCGGTACAAGCTAGCTTCTGACAATTGATAGTTTCAACGCATCACTCGACTATGCAGTGTGTGCCATGGGTTGACATGCATGACTCTGATGTTATAAACCAAATATGTGTTAATGTGACTGCTGTCCAAAGTCATTAAATCGATCGCCAAAGGACAATAGTCACTCTATCATGATTTCTTTTATATGTAAAAGACACTCATCGATCTGGTTCCAAATAACAACATCGATGAAAATAGATATAACGTGAGAACAAGCAAATTAAACGTTATTTTACACACTTACAAAAATCAAGTCGGCCTGTAAATATACGATCTAACAAACAACTACAACAGCAGCGTGAATAACAGCCTACTCGCACGTTCCTTGTCAATCGCAGCGTTTTGTTCATCACTTCCTCAGTAAGTCAGTGACGGTGTAACTATAGGGCATTCCCACGCTGAGGTAGTTGTCACTCGTTTGGATTGACTATTTGTTTTACAGCCATACAGTTGGTCGTTATATGACTGTCAGTATAAAAATGTTGTCACATCTGCCGAATGGAAGTGTAGGAAAAAGTTAATATAAAATCATAAGTATGTGCATGTGTGCTGCTGTGTACATGAATATGTCCTAGTGGTATAAGCAATGTCCTCATAATGAGAGAGTCGCCATTTCGAAAGAAATGTTGAGCACCACCCCTTCTTTATGTTCCTATTGACCTTTTTCACACTTCGCTACTTCCGGTTTGAAAGCGAGGCTTGGAGAGCAGAAGGTGAAGGCTGGATAGCACATGAAACACATGGAGATGTCAACAAGGCATGCAATCGGGACAAACTGTGACAATTTAACCATCCCGGTACATTTATCGTAAGTATTGAACATTATTCTTATTAACAAACTATTCTACTGTTATCTGGTCTCCTTACCGATATAAATTTGAGTCTGGCCGTTCTGTTGTGATTTCAATTTAAAATATCCATGACCACCTGGTAACTCCCAGTGCAGTTTATGGTAGCTGAACAGACTTAATACAAATTCTACTGAAATCTTGTAAAAAATAATTCATTGTTTACACACCATTAAGCCAAACTATTTATTGTGAGTTTAAATAACTTTGCGGGTTGTATTTAAAGTCGAAATATTGACCTTTTGACCATATCTAGATATATGTCAGAAACTAACTAAATTGATATGTTGATATAATGTATCAAATTGTAACCTACTGAGAATTTACAATCGTAAAAAATCAGAAGTTTGCATCAGTTGTGTATTTGATGTAAATTGTAATGGACTCAAATGCATTCCAATAAAATATTAGACCTCTTGATCTACTTGTGCTGTTGGGATTGTGAACAGTTGTTATTTTGATTGTCAATGTTGACAGATTAGATAGCATGAGGTGTAATATTTCAACTGAATTATTACATAAAGGGTGTGTAAATATTTAAAGTAAAGTACAGTTTGATCTGCAATTTTGGTAACAATTAATATTTCTACCAAAATGATATTTACTTTACTGTACCAATTTAATCATGTCATGAAATGATCAAAAACCCAACTAATAATGTCCAGTAAATGTTCAATCTACATGTGATCTTTATATAATTTACAGAAACAGATAACTCTTTAACAGTTTGTATTCAAATATTTCAAATGCATAAATTGATATTGACATTACTAAAAACTTAAAGTATAAAAAGAATTATTTTTAATTCCCATGCGTATTGCAATCATAACTCATTTATTCCCTTTGTTTAATTGTGAAACCCATCTGGTTTTATGTCCACAAACATGTTTTGAAACTTTTAAAACAAAAAGATATTTTTGGGTGCAAGCAATTGCCATGTATTATTGATTATTAATCATATCAATTTATATATAAGAATATAGTTGTGCTTACTGTGTCATTTTGCAATAATTATATTGTTATGATGTAATATTTTACTAAATTTAACAATCTTTAGAACTTTAGTTTATTTCAATCACGTCAAGTGGTGTGATCATTTTGATATTTTTTTATAATTCAATCAAAACGAGAAAAATAAAAAAATATAAATACATAGAAGAAATTTGTTTTCCTTGTCAAATTACGATGATAGCATGAATTTATCTCATGCTCCTTGTATAGCATGCTCCTTGTGAAAATTCATTCCATTTCCTCTTCGAATGTACCTTATATGATGATTTTAGGGAGACATTACTGACAGCTATCGATAATCTTGGAGGACAAAATACTGAGAAGGTGAATATGCATTGTTTATAAAAAATGTTATTGAAGTAGGAATATTATTACAATATAATAGAATTATTCATTTCAGGCCAGCGAGTCAACACAATGAAGTACTAGTATCCCGTGACGGATGTCTGGAGGAGCTTTCTGCAGACAGTAACACAATGGTTACAATGTGCGTCCTGTCAAAGGACGAGGAAGTGAAAAGCCATATCCATTCAATCAACAAATGTGGTTCCTGTCACATTTCTCTTAAATAGGACGAGGAACTGAAAAGCCTTATTCACTCACAAATGAACATGGCCAATATTTATCAGACACTGAAAAAGCACATTGTACCATTTGTTTACAAGCAAGAAAATTATTTTCTCCTGGAATTTAATTAGGTGCTTTTGACTGACAAAGACACCCAGTCCATGTTAAGTTTTGAAAACTTATATTGTGAGAAATAAAGATATGAAAATTTTTGTTTGTTTTTCTTTGTAAAATATGAGAAATCCAGATTGTTCCATCAACATAATTTGTACCGATACATATATTTTATCTTGGCTTGATTACCAATTGAAGTTGATTCCTTTTTATCTTTTGTTATTTTATCTGTACTCATATCTGATCAAGACATTTTCAAACTATTCAGGATAAATGTATTAGTAGCTTTCTTTTGATATACAATTACCTTTCATCATACAGGATTAGGTGAGGGTGTTCAAGAAGTTGGTAGTTGTATCAATTCTTATATTTCTTCAATTTCATGCATTATTTATATTTATCAATTTTTAGTTTCCTTTTAACTTATTTTAAACAGTTCACACATTATTACTTTTGTAGTGCACGGTGCAATCTCAATCGGCAATAATCAGTTAAGTAAATGATGTTTGAAGAACAAGTAAAGTATCCTCTGTCATTGTACACACTGAATATGGTTATCGCCCCTTCTGAATATTTATTTTGACACACGAATTATTTTCATAATTAACATTGTAATATGTTAAAATGAAAATCATAGCAGAAAAAGTGTCTTTTGTCAACTGGACTCATGGCAAAACGATAGTGCGTTGTGCAGCAAACACCACTATGAAACGTGAAATAAACATGATCTCAATCTTGATCTAGAGTTTGCCAAGCCACGCATTGACAGCAATTTTGCAAAAGTACACTGACGTGTTTCATGTTATGCGGTTTATTTACTATAGAAAACTTCTGTCATTGAATGTACTGTCACATTGTACCTATATGCCGACGAGGTTATGATAAAACAATCTATTTCTGAAATACGTATCTCGAAATGCACCTTTCGATTCACTTCCGGGATCCTGACAGCAAAATGCTAATTCCAGTGTATAACAGGCATATTTTAGTTGGACCTCATGATTTAATGTGAAATATCTTCTGTATTATATACAGAGGATACCATTTTTTGTTTGTTTGAAATGTCCATCAGTGAAATGCACAACATGCTGTCTATTCCCTATGAGCTGATGCGACTCTCACTGCATGGAGCTATGCTCTCCAAGCCTCGTTTTCGATCCAAGATGGCGAAAGTGTGAAAAAGGTCAATACCCAGACCTTCCTTGTATCTCTGTACATGTAACGTTGATGTCTGATTATTGTCTAAGATACCACCGATATCTGTTGAAAATTTGGCAGAATAGTGTGTGTTTCTCAAGATCGTCACGAGTTCTGAGTCATATGATATGATGCAAAGCTTTAGAAGGATATTCAAAAATCAATTGCTATGCATGTCATAATGGAAAAAAAGGCAAGTATGTCAAGTGATTTTAATTACATTTCATTTCATATGGAATGTACTGACTCCGAGCCGACCATTCTCTGTTTTATCCCCATCATGCCGAGCTCAAGGCAAGGAAACAACACGTACCATCCTTCAAGTACCGTGACAAGGTTTGACGCGACCAGGGGATGGAACCACCGAACTTTTGCTCTCCGGGCAAACGCTATAACCCCTACACCATGGAGACGGACGCACCCCAGAGCACACTAGATAAGACACCAAACCGACATCAAACGAGTAAGTTGACAACATAACCAAAACCATAAACAGCAAAACGGTAATCCATAAACTGTGATCAAAGACAATGTATACAATTTAACAAAACTCAATTGTTAGATATATTCAGATATTATTAACCATTTTATATGTTATGATTCTTTTAATATTATATTTTAGGATTACAACTTTGAAATACATATTTGTTATTCCTTATATTGTATATACTTGCATCACATCGGGCTTTCCTCCAACATCAAGCTGACATGCCATGATAGAACTGAAATACTGCTCACAGCGGCTTTAAACAAATCTCGCATACTCAAAGATAGTTTGTCTATACTTATACCCTCAGGGTATTCTTGTCCGCCAGTCCGGGTGTTGGTAGATACAGGTGTGGGTAGTGTCGTTGCACCTGCGGCAGTTGAGGCCGGGATTTGTGTCGTCGGTGTTGCTGAACCTAAACAGAAACTAGGTTTAACTCTTAGATACTCTTTTCAGAGTTGCTTTCAAAATTCTTCTTAGCATGAAAACAGATGATATTGATGTCGTATAGCTTCGTATTAATTTCAACACTATTCTACATTCGACAGCTTGCGAACTTTCGGAAAATCTACATCCTGTCCGATTCACTCATGCGTACACACACACACACACACACACACACACACACACACACACACACACACACACACACACACACACACACACACACACACACACACACATACATACATACAATACATGCGAAACCGCATTATCGGGTGTTCGGGAAGGGAGCTAACTCCATTTGCCTAATCGAAAGTTCGAGGTGGGCCCACATTCGAAACTAAACGCCCTTGTTGTTGAGAATATGTTCTACGTAAACAAACCTGCATTACGAACTGCTTTTTTGTCTATTTAAAATAAGTATTATGACTTATAATTGGATTAGAATGTACAAATGCGATGGGGCTATTAATATTCATGAGTTATTCCTTTTATGGAACAGTTCTCGGAAAAGGTTGAGGCTTGTATCATGTCCGAGATCAAACGAAGTGTAGACATGCTTTCAGGCTTATATCACCACCAAAACGTATGATTAGATTGGTGTGTTATACTGGAAAAAGTGGAATGAGTGGTATTGCCTACGTGAATTTAATTTGAAGAGGACTAAGTTTCTTGCTTTGTAACTATTTTTGCAAAACTAGTGTGGTCAGCTATGGTGACGTTATTCAAACTTCAAAGACTGTGTTTGCCTTTTGTGGAATTAACGTCACACTAAATGATTTATAAAGATATTTCCCATCACTATTACAAAATGAGAATAATATATGATGTCACATACCCATGCAAAGTAATGACAAATGTGAGCCCACTAGCCTAAATGTCAACCAAATGAAGCCCAGCGATTTACAATGTGGGCCCACCTGTTTCGACATTTTAGAAAATGGTTATAAGTAAGCCAAGCTAATGAAGCTTAGTGATTTATAAATGTGGTCCCTCCTGTTGCAATCACAATGACGGAAGAACGTCTTCCAACTAGGCGATATACAAACGTGGGCCCACTTGTTTCGATCACCATATATGACGGGACTCGTAAGTAGAATTTCGCGATTAATACATATGGTCCCTCCTGTTGCAATCAACATGATGGAAGAACGTCTGCCAACATTTAGGAATTGATTATCAGAACTAACGAAACAACCTATCGAAGCTAGGCGATATAGAAATGTGGGCCCACTTGTTTCGATCACCATAGATGACGGGAAAAATGTGGGCCCTCATTATAGAAAATGGTTATCAGCACTAAACCAATGGAAACAAATATATAATGAATTCAAACATTTAATTAAGAATACGTTTTACCTTAGGGATAAGCTGGGCATTTATGAGCTGGACCAAATACGAAAACAACGGAGATAGCTCCCGTTTGAAATCAGAGTGACCTCCCTTTCCCAATATGAACCATTGATAACGCGGTTTCGCCCACACACACACACACACACACACACACACACACACACACACACACACACACATACATACATACATACATTGAACCTTCTCTGGGGTTACTATGACACAGGGGAACTCAGGCGTACAGTAGAGGACATAACAACATGTACAGACAAATGTTCCCATTGTCCTCCCCATCCCCCGCGTATTAACCTTGAAGTTCAAGCTACCCCGGGGAGGAGTTGAATCAACTACGTAAAATAACAGATGCGCTTGAAAGGAATTTGATAGTGGGGACATGCCGCATGGGTAAATGTCTTGTTGAAAAGAAAGAGAATGCAAGACATGTTAACAAGGCAGTTCACTGCATCATGTCCAGTGGAGTTTCATTTTCTGTTTGGGAAAAGAGATAGAACAGAAAACTGAATTGGAAAAGTCTCTGGGTACAGGAAAAGAAAAAAAGCTTTTGAATAATTTACCTCTAAAGCTTAGAGGCTAGTTAAATCCTGACACCTAGAACATCATCATCAATCTTTGTCAAACCTTTCAGAAATCTATTTCAAAATATGTACTCCGGGTACCTTTGCAATGGATGTATCTGAATTGACTCAAAGTTGGGTTCAGTTATTCATTTCAAATGGCTGTAAAATGAATTTGTAACTAAAGATTTATTTATTCGGTTCGGTTTACCACGCCATTGGTCTTGTTGCTCGCTATGGCTCTGTCCGTGAATCAGTTGTCAGGCACTTGAAAAAACTAATAATGCAATAATAATATTAATACTACACAATCAATAATCAAATAAATTTGATGCAAATAATGAGTCACTGAAAGTATGGAAACAAATGGTGAACCATAGCGATCGAAACTGAGATCTAGACACACCGAGAGGAAGCCTGAGTTTCGGCACGAAACGATAAATGCAGTGGGACAGAAAAAGTGATAACCAAAGAAATTAAATCTCAACCAACCCGAGATGTCAACTTGGGTGAACTGTCAGTTTCGGGCTCTGTGAATTCTAACAAACTCATTATGTGACAACTAAGTCCACTTCAAGGCCCAAACTTCTGGAGAGGGCAAGAAAACGTAACTGATTTTTGTAGGTCTGTCTAATATAAGTGTTTAGGACATGCCGAGTACGGCGTTAAACAACAAACAAACAAACAAACAAAACATCATTGTGTTAACGTTTAGCATAATGTAATAGAATATTAATATTTTTATGTAAATAAGTTAACCACAGTACAAAACTCTATTAAGTTTGTCAGCTGATTTTTCGGCTTGTAAGGTGCTTGTATGATTATTTTATGTAAATCATCTCTCCTTGTATTTGTTTTTTACAAACAGGTTATATACCTGAAATGATTTCTCATTTTATTTAACATTCTAATTATACAACTATACGTGATGAGGACATCAAAGTATTACATACCAAATTATACCTTCATAATAATAATACATAAAACAAAAAAATACAAATAAAATAATAAAAAACAACGTTGATTTAGTTCTCTAAACAATCTACAGAGTATATATCTAAACGTGGGTTCGTACGTTGAATGTCCAGCACAAGGATCGTCCTGTTATCAAACACTAATTAACACCCCCCACCCCGGCCCCCCTCCCACCCCCCACCAGCACCACCACCCCACACACCCACACCACACACCACCCCCATCCCCCACTAATTTACTGCTATTGATACTGCGGGAGTTCATGCTTAAGCCTACCAGAATGTGTTCAGTACAACAAATTAAAACGTACCGTCAACGATTCCAAGGGACACCAGGAGTAGCGCCACCTCCATGAAACGCCCCATTGTCACAGAGCTCAGCCTGTACCGCACAGAGCTGTGACTACGCTCTGTCTGGCAGGGTGGTTGCAGATAACCTGTTATGTATGCACCACGTCAACGTCAACGCAAGCAACAACAAATGAAATTGTGTCATTGATTTTTTCAATAATATACATTGTACATTGTCAGCATGAACAGGCAAAGGATGTATTTACTGCCATTATAAAAAAAAAACATAAAGTAAAGTGTGTGAATCCATTTTGGGAACTAAACAATCCCTTTATTATCTTCTGGGCGGCGTGCAGATAGAGTAATGGAGTAGAGTAAGAGTTTTTCCTGTGCAAATACTCATGTGTACTCAAAGTGATCTAAATAGCTTAGTGACAACTGCTTGTGTTGATGGCCTGGGTGTGTGATTCGGGTGATACTGGTCGTATTGATGGCCTGGTTGTATGATACTTGTGATACTGCTTGTGTTGATGGCCTGGGTTTATGATACTGGTGATACTGCTTGTGTTGATGGCCTGGGTGTGTGATTCGGGTGATACTGGTCGTATTGATGGCCTGGGTGTATGATACTTGTGATTCTGCTTGTGTTGATGGCCTGGGTTTATGATACTGGTGATACTGCTCGTGTTGATGGCCTGGGTGTGTGATTCGGGTGATACTGGTCGTGTTGATGGCCTGGGTGTATGATACTTGTGATTCTGCTTGTGTTGATGGCCTGGGTGTATGATACTGGTGATACCGCTCGTGTTGATGGCCTGGGTGTATGATACCGGTGATATTGCTCGCGCTGATGGCCTGGGTTTATGATACCGGTGATACTGCTTGTGTTCATTACCTGGCCGTATGATACTTGTGATACTGCTTGTGTTGATGGCCTGGCTGTGTGATACTTGCGAAACTGCTTGTGTTGATTGCCTGGATGTATGATACTTGCGATACTGCTTGTGGTGATGGCCTAGCTGTGTGATACTTGTGATACTGCTTGTGTTGATGGCCTGGCTGTATGATGCTGGTGATACTGCTTGTGTTGATTGCCTAGCTGTGTGATACTTGTGATACTGCTTGTGTTGATTGCCTGGATGTATGATACTTGTGATACTGCTTGTGTTGATTGCCTGGATGTATGATACTGGTGATATTGCTTGTGTTCATGGCCTAGCTGTGTGATGATTGTGATACTACTCGTGTTGATAGCCTGGCTGTATGATACTTGTGATACTGCTTGTGTTGATGGCCTGGGTGTATGATACTGGTGATATTGCTTGTGTTCATGGCCTGGGTGTATGATACTGGTGATATTGCTTGTGGTCATGACCTAGCTGTGTGATGATTGTGATACTGCTCGTGTTGATGGCCTGGGTGTATGATACTTGTGATACTGCTTGTGTTGATGGCCTGGGTTTATGATACTGGTGATACTGCTTGTGTTGATGGCCTGGGTGTGTGATTCGGGTGATACTGGTCGTATTGATGGCCTGGTTGTATGATACTTGTGATTCTGCTTGTGTTGATGGCCTGGGTTTATGATACTGGTGATACTGCTCGTGTTGATGGCCTGGGTGTGTGATTCGGGTGATACTGGTCGTGTTGATGGCCTGGGTGTATGATACTTGTGATTCTGCTTGTGTTGATGGCCTGGGTGTATGATACTGGTGATACCGCTCGTGTTGATGGTCTGGGTGTATGATACCGGTGATATTGCTCGCGCTGATGGCCTGGGTTTATGATACTTGTGATACTGCTTGTCTTCATTACCTGGCCGTATGATACTTGTGATACTGCTTGTGTTGATGGCCTAGCTGTGTGATACTTGTGATACTGCTTGTGTTGATGGCCTGGCTGTATGATACTTGTGATACTGCTTGTGTTGATGGCCTAGCTGTGTGATACTTGTGATACTGCTTGTGTTGATGGCCTGGCTGTATGATGCTGGTGATACTGCTTGTGTTGATTGCCTAGCTGTGTGATACTTGTGATACTGCTTGTGTTGATTGCCTGGATGTATGATACTTGTGATACTGCTTGTGTTGATTGCCTGGATGTATGATACTTATGAAACTGCTTGTGTTGATTGCCTGGCTGTATGATACTTGTGATACTGCTTGTGTTGATGGCCTGGCTGTATGATACTTGTGATACTGCTTGTGTTGATGGCCTAGCTGTGTGATACTTGTGATACTGCTTGTGTTGATTGCCTGGATGTATGATACTTGTGATACTGCTTGTGTTGATGACCTGGTTGTGGGATACTTGTGATGCTGCTTGTGTTGATTGCCTTGCTTTATGATACTGGTGATACTGCTTGTGTTGATTGCCTGGATGTATGATACTTGTGATACTGCTTGTGTTTATGGCCTAGCTTTGTGATACTTGTGATACTGCTTATGTTCATTGCCTGGATGTATGATACTTGTGATACTGCGTGTGTTGATTGCCTTGCTGTATGATACTGGTGATACTGCTTGTGTTGATTGCCTGGATGTATGATACTTGTGATACTGCTTGTGTTGATGGACTGGCTGTATGATACTTGTTATACTGCTTGTGTTGATGGCCTAGCTGTGTGAAACTTGTGATACTGCTTGTGTTGATTGCCTGGCTGTATGATACTTGTGATACTGCTTGTGTTGATGGCCTAGCTGTGTGATACTTGTGATACTGCTTGTGTGGATTGCCTGGCTGTATGATACTTGTGATACTGCTTGTGTTAATGGACTGGCTGTATGATACTTGTGATACTGCTTGTGTTGATGGCCTAGCTGTGTGATACTTGTGATACTGCTTGTGTTGATGGCCTAGCTGTGTGATACTTGTGATACTGCTTGTGTTGATGGCCTGGCTGTGTGATACTTGTGATACTGCTTGTGTGGATTGCCTGGCTGTATGATACTTGTGAAACTGCTTGTGTTGATTGCCTGGCTGTATGATACTTGTGATATTGCTTCTTATCACGGCTTGACTGTACGATACTTGTGATACAGCTTGTGTTGATGGCCTGGCCTGGCTGTATGATACTGGTGATATTGCTTCTGTTGATGTCAAGGCTGTATGATACGGGTGATACCGCTTGTATTCATGGGCTTGCGCTATGATTCTGGTGATACTGCTTGTGTTGATTGCCTTGCTGTGTGATAATGGTGATACTGCTCGTGTTGATGGCCTGGCTGTGTGATACTTGTGATATTGCTTCTGTTCACGACCTGACTGTATGATACTGGTGATACTGCTTGTGTTGATGTCCTGGCTGTATGATACTAGTGATACTGCTCGTGTTCAAGGCCTGGCTGTATCATACTAGTGATACTGCTTGTGTTGATGGCCTGGCTGTATGATACTGGTGATACCGCTTGCATTCATGGGCTTGCGCTTTGATTCTGGTGATACTGATTGTGTTGATTGCCTTGCTGTGTGATACTGGTGATACTGCTCGTGTTGATGGCCTAGCTGTGTGATACTTGTAATATTGCTTCTGTTCACGACCTGACTGTATGATACTAGTGATACTGCTTGTGTTGATGTCCTGGCTGTATGATACTAGTGATACTGCTCGTGTTCACGGCCTGGCTGTATCATACTAGTGATACTGCTTGTGTTGTTGGCCTGGCTGTATGATACTGGTGATACTGCTCGTGTTCACGGCCTGGCTGTATCATACTAGTGATACTGCTTGTGTTGATGGCCTGGCTGTATGTGCTGGTGATACTGCTCGTGTTCACGGCCTGGCTGTATCATACTAGGGATACTGCTTGTGTTGATGGCCTGGCTGTATGTGCTGGTGATACTGCTCGTGTTCACGGCCTGGCTGTATGAAACTTGCGAATTTGAGTGAGTGAGTGAGTGAGTTGGGTTTAACGCCGCTTTTAACAGTATGCCAGTTATATCGCGGCGTGTCAGCTTAATGTGGGAGGAAAGCCCCAAGTGATGCAGGTCTCAGGCGTTTACCACTTCGGTGAAACCCTAGAGCACGGGTTTGGTGCTGACAAACCTAGAAACATAATCGGGGCGTACCGGAATTCGAACCCACAATCATAGGTTTCTGGCGTGCCCAAGGGACGCAAGTCTGCACAGCGAATCGCGGCGCCTTGGACGACTGGGCCTGCCGTGCCCCCTGTGAATTTGAAGTGAACTCTTAAATATATGGACATACAGCACAGACCTAAAACAACTGTTGGCGACAGCTGTGATTCACCTATGAATCTATTATACAATCTATAAGAAAGCACTATGACGTCCGAATAACTATCAATGTGCATGGGCCATGCGCACAATGTTGTAGTATTGCCTTGAATATAGAGTGCAGGAAGGTACAAGCAAAGAGTGTAAAATTTTATACTGTGGTTATAAAGAACATGATAGTTTTGTATACTGGATGGATACTCTGTACTTGTATGTTTCTAAATGTCAAATATCATTTTATTATTGATGCCTATCTACATGTGTATTGTGCGAGCTGGACAGTGTGTTGTAATCCCAACATACAGTAAAATCTTGGTATAACTTGTGTATAACTTGTGTATAACGTGTGTTTAAGTTGTGTATAACCTGTGTATAACGTTTGTGTAATTTGTGTAAAATGTATAACCTGTGTACACCTTCTGTATAACTTATGTATAACTTATGCATAATGTATGTGCATGTTGTGTACAACCTATATATAACTTGTGTATAAATTGCGTATAATTTGTGTAAACGTACTATCAGGGTATTCCCCAGCATACGAACCATATACATCCTCGTTAATTCAAGATATTAAGTATCCATTCTACCATGATTAAAACCTAAGCCCATTCCCTACCATAGCTTCGTTTTTGGAAGTGATGTCACAATCATCCCCAAATCTATCACTTCCCTTCGCACATAACTTCTCCTACTCTAACGTTACTTGACTAAACAACTATTTTAGCGTTGTGTTAGAAGAGGACAAAACAAGTTTTGAACGGGATGGGCACAGTAAATTTATCGTAATAGAGTGGACATATAACACACTGGATAACCGAGGATGGACCACGCCCTATTATATGACCTTCGTTTATCTACTCATAACGCTACTATCGCCGACATCAATGCTGTATTTGACATGGTTATAATGCGTGTATAAATGTGCACGTCTGTA